AAAAAAGAGGTGTGTGCTCATCTGGCTCTGTGCCTGAAGCTCTCCATGGTGATCGCATTCCACCACCCTGACCTCTCCTAACATCATACAGACACACACATATCCTCTACCCTTAGAGTGCTGCTAGCTTTCTAGGCCAGTCACAAAGCTATCAAGCTTGTCTGGCATTGTCCCAAACCCCACAAGTTAAGTTGGTCTATCAAACTCAGGTCTCTTTAAATAATTCCATATCAATACTCACTTTCTATGGAAGGCATGCTTACATGGACAAATCCCCAATTCATCTCGAGGCTTGAAATCTTCTAGACACACTGCACAGAGCTGAAAGACAATTCACAAGTGAGGCCAAGTATCTGTTAAGTATTCTCCCAGGCCACCAAGCAGAGTGCAGGCTTCTGAGGCCTGGCCATTTGAAGGGACTTCTAATGTCCTACAACTCGGTAAGTGAAAGAAACAGGCTCAAATAGATGGAGAAGCGCCTTATACCTTCCTGTACATGTCTTAAAGGTGGTGGGCAGACAAAGACAAGAAGAGGCAGTCCCTTTCCTCAGTGCCTCAGCAGAGTGTGATTTATGCAGGTGTAATCTAGTGTCATTTCCCTGAGGCATTCACTTTCCCTGGGGTGCTCTGCCTGCTAAGTAGTGCAGCCCTGGCCATCTTTTCTCCTGTTTTCACGGCACAGTCCGCAGTAGTGTGCTATTTATAGTTGCTGGGGCTACCTACTTTGGCACTGTCCTTCTGTCAGTGTCTGTCTTTATCATATAAAAAGTTCATAAAGACCCACTAAGTTAAAACTCATGAAATTGTGTAGATGGAGCCAGGATTGCTTTCTGACAGGCGACTAGTCTTCACTGCTTGGAAGTAGGGCTTCTACTTCTTATCAGAGATGCCGGGTTCCACACTACTTCTTGGGAATTTACCAGTGACCATGGACACGCTGGATCATCTTATGTACCCATTTTACAGATGAGGAAACAGAAGTGCAGAACAATAATCACATTGCTCACGGCCATTCAGGTGGGGAGTGCCCAGGCTGGCTGGGGACCCAGGCGTGCTGCACCAATGTGCTCTTGCACCATTTCCTTCCCCTGCCTAATGGCTGAACTCCTCCCTGTTTGCTTCTCTGTGTATTCCCAGGGATCTTGGTTCAGAGCATCATCGTTTCTTGCCCCTGGCTTCACTGTCACCAGTTTCTTAACTTATACATCCCAGTCTTAGTTTATGTGACACGATCTAGGCAGGACACATGGCTCTTGGTACCCTGTAATGAGTGCCAAGAATGTTGGTCTGTCAACATCCTTAAGGGAGCTCTTGGGGCCATGTGTGTACAGTAGACAGCATCTCCACAGGAGGAGGATGGATAACTGGGTCTTGTTAGATTTGGCATTCCCACAAGACAGCAGGGGAGTAGGGAGAGGAGCAGGACAGTGGCTAGCCTCAGCTTGTATACCCACTGGCTATGTGACCTCTGGTCTCATGACGTTCTGCAGAGCACTTTTCCTTTATCTGTAAAATGAGGACATAACCTGCTCCTCCCCTCACAGGACTGTCATCAGCTCAGGCTGGGGGACAGGGCTGAGGGATGCACTAAGGCAGTCTACTAATGCTAGCTGTTTTTATTAATGTTTATGTTTGTTTTTTGGAGGTAGGTTGAAAAGCTGGGCAAAGATAAGAAACTGACAGTTTCAACTGTGGGGTATCTTTTTAGGCCTCAGCTTCCCCTCTGTAAAGGGGGAATGATGCTTCCATCTCCTAGACTGGGAACAGGCCTTCTGGCTTCAAAAGCCAGCCTCCCTCCTAGCCTAGCCTTTTTTGTTTGTTTGTTTTTGAGACAGAGTCTTACTATTGTCACCCTTAGTAGAATGCTGTGGCATCACAGCTCACAGCAACCTCAAACTCTTGGGCTTAAGTGATTCTCTTGCCTCAGCCTCCCAAATAGCTGGGACTACAGGCACCTGCCATAATGCCTGGCTATTTTTTTGTTGTTGTAGTTGTCGTCGTCGTTGTTTAGCAGGCCCCAGAGCCCTAGCCTAGCCTTCTGAAAGAGGGTCAGGACTATCCTCTGGAGATTCAGCACTTATCTTACTGAAGCACAAGTTGGACAAGTTGGTCATTTTTGTTCATTTAATTTTTCATGATCCAAAATTAGCTTTGTAGCCTTTTCAAAATGGAGTGTCTATTAATGGTTATAAAAAGCTATTAAGTTCTAAATAAACAAATATGAAGACTATAGTCATCTGAAAAAAAACACAAGAGAAATTTTGACATGTTAAATGCTAAAGGTGACCAAAAGTCAGTGGCAATTGCAAAAAGTGAGAAGCCTCAGATATGACTTTGTAGAAGTTCCCTGAAAGCCAAAACTCATTTTACAACTTTCCTTTACAGATCATATTTTGCAAATAAGTGTTACTCTTCAGGTTTTGATGAGATTGTTTCTCCAGTGTGACTTTTTATCCTCTTTTTAAAAACTGAGATATAATTAGCATACCATAATATTTACTACTTTAAGTATATAAGTCAGCAGTTTTTAAGTATTTATTTGTGTCACCATCACCATGATCTATTCTAGAACATTTTCATCATCCCATTCTCTCCTTAAAGTCCACACCCATAGGTGGTCTCTCTCCAATTCTCCCTTTTCCATAGTCTTTGGTAACTAACCACTAATCTACTTTCTGTTCTGATGGATTTCTCTATTCCAGACATTTCATATAAGTGAAATCATTTAATATGAAGTCTTTTGTCTTCTTTCCCTGAGCATAATGTCTTCAATGTTCATCTATGTTCATCTATAATATAACATGTACATGGTATCAATACTTCCCTCATTTTTATGGCTAAATAATATCCCATTGTAGACATCCCACATTTTGTTTATTCATTCATCTGTTGATGGCCACTTGGGTCCCTTTTACCTTTTGGCTATTTTCAATAGCCAAAACACTCATGTACAAGTATATGTCTGAATCTTTCTTTTTCACTGGGCATATACAAAGGAGTGAAATTGCTGGGTCATATGATAACTCTGTATTTAACTCTTTGAGGAACTACCAAACTGATTTGCAAGGTGACTGTACCATTTTACATTACCAGCAGTGGATGAAGGCTATCATCACCAATACTTATTGTCATCTTTCTTTTTTATATTTAGTTATTATTTTTTTTTTTTTTTTGAGACAGAGCCTCAAGCTGAGCCCTTGGGTAGAGTGCCATGGCTTCACTGCTCACAGCAACCTCCAACTCCTGGGCTCAAGCGAGTCTCCTGCCTCAGCCTCCCAAGTAGCTGG